ATCAGAGCAGAATCACTGTCCCGTCTCAGTGAGAGTGCCTTTTCAGAAGTGGTTTCCGGGAAAGAAGGCCTTGTTCGTTTTAGCACTCTTTATTAATAGGAAGTGCTTAATGGTCCCTGCCCCTCCCCACACATGTGTGCCTCTGGTCTGTAATCTCCTCCCAGGGGAGGGGTGAGCATTGCTAGGGTCAGTCCTCTCAGAAGGAGCAGGTCGTCCAGACTTTGGAAGGCAAGCCTTAGCCGGGCAGGGAGAGGTGCCGGTTTCTTGGGTACCGCTTGAGTGTCGCTGAGGATGAGCCCAGGCAGAGGGAAGGCTGGTCCCTGATCCATGAGGTGATATAGACCAGGCAGGGGACTTTCTCCTGTGGTTCTCACATGGGGTCTGATGAATTCAGTCATCTGAGAAGGGACCCCTCTCCCTTCAATTAATATAGATTCTCAGGTCTGGCCCTTCTAATTCTGTAGGTTTTAGGAGGTGTGTTGGTATGAGTAGGTAGAAAAGAAATCTCGTGCTGATGTCAAAGCAGGTTTGGGTGCCTCACTGGATTGCTCTGATGATGAGAGCTCCGTCTCATGAGCCTCCATCTAGATGTGTGTTGGGGCCTTGGTCAAATCCTTATTGATTCTGGCTGGGCCTCAGCCATGGATGGGAGTGACAGGTTAGGCCTTAGCTAGGTACTTGCAGGAGGTCCTAGGGCTACAGTGGCCCACCCAGGCTGGTGGGTGCAGGGCAGTGAGAGAGCAAGAAAGCCCAGGGTGAGGGGTGCATTATGAGGAGGAGCAGGAGCTCCAAAACCAGAGGCCAGGTCAGGAGTCCCTGCTGCTCCTCCAATGAGCTGTCTCCTCCATGGCCAGTCCTGATGAATTGAGGGTGGATATTTGTTAAAGGAGCCAGCAGATTCTCTTGAAGGCCAGGCACAGTGCTCAGGGTCAGGGTTTTGAGACCAGAATCAAAGTCCCAGGAGCTCACAGCGTGGGAGGGAATGACAGGACTAAATGGGAAGCTTTGGCTCCACCTGACCAGACTGTGTGTGTGTCCTCCTCTTGGCGGCCTCTATAGCAGGGATCCCCCACCCTTGGGCTGTGGACTGGTACCAGTCTGTGGCCTGTTAGGAACCGGGCTGCACAGCAGGAGGTGAGCAGAAAATGGCTGCACAGCAGGAGGTGAGCAGCTGGCGAGCAAGCAAGAGAACTTCATCTGTATTTGCAGCCACTCCCCAGCATTAGCATCACCGCCTCAGCTCCATTTCAGATCATCAGGCATTAGGTTCCCATAGGAGCATCGGTCCCTGGCGCCAAAAAGGTTGGGGACTGCTGCCGTAGAGGATGGTATCCCCACTGGACACCAGAGGAAACAGAGGCTTAGGAAGGAAATCTGGTAGCTGAAAGTTACGTACAGGTAAGTGGTAGGGCCCAATGTGTACTCAGGATGCAGATCCAGCTCTGAGCCATTGTGCTCTGCTGCCATGTACATCCAGATGAGAGCTCCTAGCCAGGGGTGGGCAGAGCAAGGGGAAATGAGAAGGAGGGGTGGACAGTGAATCACTGAGGGCTTGTGACATCTCCAGGCTTTACTGCTAGGTATTGTTTCTTTACTTTGGAGCTGTGTGCCCTAGGGGATACTCAGTAAATATCCACAGGGTACACAGTCCAGCTAAGGAGACCCCAGGTACCTGGGATGACAGTACCAGGTGGTTGGAGCAGAGCATGGCCAGATCTGGTTGTAGAGTGAGTTTGGTTCAGAGTATGTATGCTTGGTCAAAAAGAGGAGGGTTGGGCGGGGCCAGCATGGTGGCAGCTGAGGTGGAACCTGCACTGGGTCACAGGACATTGCTGTCTCGTTCCCCATTGGAGCTTCAGTCCATAGGGATGAGATGCTGAGAGCCCGTTTGCTCTGGGGTCTGCTGTGTACAGGGCTCTGTAAAGAGAACATCTTCATCCTCTCACTGAGAGATTATCAGCCCACGCTGGCCACATTCCTAGTCCCCACTGGACTGTGTGCTGCAGTACCTGGCAGGCCTGGGATCTGTTGGGGGACCCTGTGGACAAGCAGGAGGAAGCAGCAATCAGGGGTCCGAGGGAGGGATATGGCTTCCTTTGGGGAGCTGTTAGTTGTGGCACCCTGCCATCTCAGCCTATAGTCAAGTCCTCGAGGCACCCGAAGTGCTAGGCAGAGTCCAGTTTAGTCCTGCCCTGGAGAGCAGAGAGAACGTGGTCGGGAGATAGCTGGGTGACAGTGGCTGGAGTTTCTGAGGCAGATCCCGGCTGTTCTCAGTCTTACCCTGCTCTGAATGGGGGTGTCTCAGAAAAAGGTGAGGAAAGCCTTTTCTTTCCTTCCTGGCCTCCCCGAAAAGCAGGTTAAGAGAGAACCCCAAATTCCTTGAGGAAAAGCAGAAGCAGAGGTGACCTTATAGCGGAGGGAACTGGGAAGGGTAGGGGACAAGGATCCTTTGGGCAGAGGACCTGAGCCTCTCCCTGGGCTAGTGAGG